TGGATGCGCGCCATCAATCATCGCGACCTTACCCGAGACTCATCGCCAGCCAGAGTTCTGAGACGCGTTCGCTCAAACTTCTGTCGGTACTTCACCAACTGCATCATCAGCGTCGGGTCGAACATCATAGGGTCGGACCTATTCCGTTCGAAATCAGTGAACAAAATGGTGATCTGATAACATAAACTTTCCCTGCGGAAGTGACGGGGAGTTCGCTCACTTCGTTCAAAGACTTCTCCAACTCGTCTACGCTGCAACCTTCCTCAGCACCCATGCTCGACACGATCGTTGAAACTGCCTCGAGACCAACCCGCGTGGTCGAGCCGGAGACAATCGTCGGCCAAACACTTCCAACAGAGCAGGCCGCTAACATCCCTGCTGGAAAGGCTGCGACTGCATCACAATATCTGCGTGACAAAAAGTACTGTTCATGTCCATGTTAGGGGAATATATGTTTGGTTTTCTCAGCTGGACTCAGGAGTTTCCAAAGCTGAGTATATGCGAATTCGGATGGAATTATACAAAAACCCGAAAGGATTTTCTTCGAAATTCCCTCACAATTTTCAAATTGTCGCCGACACATGTGCGTATATTCCCACACTTTTCAACACATTTGAGAGCTGCCCTTAATACTCCTCTAGAGATGTAACGACAGGTTAGATGGGTAAAGTGAAACGAGGAAACTAATACTCGAAATAGTGAAAGTTGGAGAGCGACCACGGTTCGGTGAAGTCTTACGGCCATCTGGAAGTGAGCAATTCTGACGCATGGCGGAATATGCGTTCCGCAGTAGGCCGATCTAGATAGTTGCCAGACACAAGTCGGCGACAAATAAGCAGAAGAGGAGGCCAGGGCTGATCGACGACCAAGTCGTAGTTCAAGCCACTGAGAAGGTCAAGTTCCACCTGATGGGAAGTGACGAATACAATGATTGCTCAAGACGTTACCTCCGCGAGGATCTTCGGGTCGACAACATATTTACCTCCGCCCGCGTCGGCCCCCTCCGGCATGAGCATGAGGCCACGCACGTCGGTATCATGAAACTCCTCAGTTTTGCACGCGAGAGATACACAACAGAAAATGACGACCAGAGGGTCGAACTCCAATACCGAGTGACTGAGGGTAGTACAAATTGTACTATGATGGCGGACGAGTAATTTCCATGAACCGAAGAATTCATCGACATCGTGTCCGAGTGGTTAAGGAGTTGGACTTGAAATCCAATGGGCTCAGCCCGCGCAGGTTCGAATCCTGCCGATGTCGTATTATTACTGTGCAAAAAATCGGCGAAAGAACAAATTTGCTGAGAAAATGACTTCCGGTTCGATTCGCGTGCGAAACGTCGGAGCCGTCATAGCGAGATGCTGTTTTCGTAACAAGTCAGCCACATGGTCCAAAACCTGAGCCCGGATAGACTCTAACATAGCAAAATCGAACAGTTTTGGGCGGACACTTACGTAGGTCTCATGAATGGGTTCGAGAAGGACTCCCGCATGACCATCCGCCGCTTTTTTCTTCGACTGAGAGGAACGAATCATACCAACATAACGGATGTCAGCTTACACTACTAGACTGCGACTTCACTATAACCGCAGTTGCACGTTGATTCGCTGCCGCCCTCCTCGCCCTCAACTCATCCACGGACATCGGAAAGTGCAATACATCATTGTGATGGTAATGCGTATGGTGATCCCCATGAGCTCCCTCGACGCCCTCTGGGGCACTCTCTCCTTGCGAAGATAGGACAGCCATTTCTACCACCACAAAGCACCTACTGGTAATACGAACCAGTGTCGGAATATATAATTGGTTTCCTCAGCTGAGCTTGAGAGTTTTCTCACTAATTGGGGAAAATTCCGGGTAGAAGTATACAGAAAACAATGAGAATTTCCCAAAATTTCCATGTTGTCCTCACCAACACATGTAGTTGACCATGTGCATACCCCCCCCCCCCACCGATGACCAACATACGTCATTCTAACACACTGAAAACTATTATCATTCAACATCAATACTAATCTAAATATTCATCTTCGAGATTAAATATTCTAATATTTTCGACCGCCAACTACAACTCAATACCACACCATGAGAAACACATCTTCTTAACACGTTGTTAATCGTCTGACTCTTCATTCACCGCAACGTCCACATCTATCATCCCTCGCAAGGTCGTTTCAAACTCATCCACATTGTCAGCTTCAAGAACACCATTCGAGTTCGCTACCACAACGAAACCTCCTCGGCGGGAAAGCGAACAACATCAGCAATCCTACCTATGCATCGGTTAAGGCCACCTCCTGTTCTCAGTTTCCGTAATTCCGACAAACACCGAGTTACTAAACAAGTGAAATGCTATTGCTACACAATGGGAATGCTTACCCTCTTTCCGACTGTTGGGTCCCCAACACTCCAGAGACGTTTCCACTGATATCATCTCAGCATCATCCTCTAGACCTACATACCCCCGAGGGAAATGCTCCGGTATAGGTACCTATATAAGCGTTCACTCAATTCTATCCATGTAAACACTCCCAATCAAATTTTGAATTCATTTCCATTCGGAAGATTCATCACCGATCGCCCAGTTGATCTCCCCCTTCCGCCACTATAACCGAGCAGAACCTATTATACTCCCAAGAGAGGATTTTCCACGTATGGCTAGGATTACATTCTTCAATCAGTTTCCCATGTAAATGTCATCATCACATTAGGAACATGTTTCCCCATCGTTAGTATCAAACCCTAGGGGGCGTTATTTCTCAAAGCTAAATGGGCCCCTGTCACCGAAGCACACTCCCTTTCTTCATCCCTTCCTCGAATATACTCCACATAATCAACGCATCACAAACTTTCCCACTCAAACAATTCCAAAACTCCTCTCAGTACGCCCACCTCATTCGAGGTGTATTTTCATTCTCCACCACTTCGAATGAAATATTTAATTTATTTCCACCCGGAAAATTTATCTCTGAATTTTCCAATGAGCTTGTGAACAACACTCACTACAGTTCATATCATCTCTTCAACGCTATATGATCATCAGACTCCTACATCGAATATTAAACTCTTCCCATAATGAGAAATTCTGTCCCTACCTTATTCGCGGTGTATTTCCAGCCTTCTCCACAGCCACCGAGCACACCCCAGTCGCTCAGCTTCCCAAACGCCCTATTCTTCTCAAACCCTCCAGAGTACGTCAATGCAGCCAGTGATAAAGCTAAAGGGGCTGACCGCCTGAGAGGGAAATAGCAGTGGACACCAACCCAAGTGGACATATGAATTTGCGTCGACCTTATATATATTATACGAAAATATAATTAAATTTCAATATGTTAATAGTATACTGATTGTTGGAGTTTCACCCTAGTGATATGAAATATATTTCGCGACTAGTGCATATCACCGCAAATATCCGGTTTTTCACAGAATATTACGCCACTTCGCGTAAAACGGGTGAAACTCCATAACACCTAATCAATGCATGTTTTTTAGTATTCTTTTTTTAAAAAAAGTATATTATCACCCTTCACCTAGTGACGGCAAAGAAAAAAATTGTGGAGCGAGCGGAGCATATACCGCAACAACAGGCACTTTCTTCTTGTGCGTGCGTGCAGAATTATTCTGGCTTAACTACGAAGCCTTGAAGGCTATCAGATAGATCAAACGACTCCTCTATATGCCGAGGTTTCCGCACAAATCTAAAAACTCGACGAGATATGCACTAAAAATTTTAATGACGGAAAAGTGTCCAACCCGGGGATCGAACCGGGGACCTATATCAAATTCATTGATACGAATCAATAAACGTGGACTAAGCGAGCTCCACCACTTCGTCACGAAGGCCTAGTCCAACTACGTTGGCACTTCCAGCGTAATGTATAGTTTATTATTATTATTGTCTTCCCTAATCGACTAGTAATGAGTTGGCCTACTTTCACTACGGTAAATCTAACACTACATTCAAATAGTCGACACACTTCCAATTCTCACAATACTACAGTCAAGAAATACAAATTACAAAACACTCCGGAACAAGTCCTTCCTCGGTACATCATCGTTCTCACACGTGTGTTTAAACGTCCCACACGTGCGTTAAAACGTTCTACACGTATGCTAAAACGTCCTACACGTGTGTTAAAACGTTCTACACGTGTGTTAAAACGTCTCACACGTCCGCCAAAACGTCCTACACGTATGTTAAAACGTCCCACACATGTGTTAAAACCTCCACACGTGCGTTAAAACGTCCATGCCAAGCATGGACCCGAGAGAGTCCGATAAACCTCACAATAGAAGAAGCCCTTACTTGTATAAGCCAGCATTGTCCAGAATAGACCCCAGAGGCTGAGCTCCAGTGGGGAGGCAGCCAAGGACGTGAAGAGGACTACTCTCACTCGGCACACAGTGACATATCGAATAGGCAAAATTGAGGCCTATTCAAGCGAGATGTGAAAGAAATGTGGTATTAAATATTATTACTCCAATATTCTCCTTCAACACCTTTCCCAAATGTCTCTAAAGGCAATAAAATGACGTCCTTCTTGGGCACCTCTTCAGCCAACCACTCGAAGGCCGCAACACACTCCCCCGCAAAGGAGGTCGAAACGTCGTAGAGCATCTAAGCCAGAACTGGTCGTAAAAATCATGACTTCATAGGAGTTTCACCACCCTAGTGATATGAAAAACACTGCTACTGCATATCACCGCGAATATCGCGTTTTTCACCGAATAATACACCGCTTCACGTAAAACGGGTTACGAAACTCCATAGAACCATTTCTCTACCATTCGATTTCCACTCATATCACTCCATCTCAAAAACTCATATTTTTCGCGCGCCACGAAATTCCCCACGCTCCCACCTGCACTGTTTTCAAACTATCGCAGCCTTCGATGAGCTTTCGTATTGCCGTTTCCGACCAATCAGTAGTAGACGAATAATAATAGGCGTCTTCTTTAACGCCGTAGTTGCCACTGACGAAATGTTTATCTTGAAAAATTATATGTCAATAACGATCACGGAAATGATCGGTGCACTCTACAGATCAATTCCGCCCTAGTGATATGAAAAATATAATTCACGACTACTGCATATCACCGCGAGTATCGCGTTTTTCACCGAGTTTTACGCCACTTCACGTAAAACGGGTGGAACTCCCAAATTTTACCCAAAAATTTTCCCCTTTTTCGAATAAATCCCCGCTTGCCAACTTTCTGGAGCTGATTCTTTACCCGAATTTTCGGCAATTTTATATAAATCAATTTCCTCTTTTCCAACTTCCTCCCGACTGTTTATAACAAATTTCTCACAATTTTCAACGAAATTACTATAAACAAATCGGGAAAATATTTAATTCCCCAGAAATGCTGTAATGTATTCCACTCCATCACCAAATCTAGGCCGTGGTGAAGTTTTCATCCCGAAACACTGCTCTGCGTGAAATACTATATTTTCTAATTTTCCCGAGAAAAATCTCGTCACACTACCCGTTTTACGTGAAGTGGCGTGAAACTCCGTGAAAAACGAGATATTCACACTACGCAGTAGTCGTGAAATTAGTTTTGCACTAGCGTTTTTCATATCACTAGGGTCGTGAAACTCCACTACAGTAACTTCGAGAACGCATATCTCTAATATTAATACATACCGCATCAACTCATATGGTCATTCACACTTACGAATACGCTCAAGACTGCGCCCATGAGTACATCGAAAGTACCCGGAAGTCTACTACTACTACTACTACTACTACTACTACTACCACTACTACTACTACTACTACTACTACTACTACTACTACTACTACTACTACTACCACTACTACTACTACTACTACTACTACTACTACTACTACTACTACTACTACCACTACTACTACTACTACTACTACTACTACTATCAGCCCAGTTCCCAATATTACAACATCGTTCCAGTGGAGTACCCATATATTCACTCCAATGCATGCCATCTCCCATACCATCCCTTTGATAAATCTTCACATTCCCAGAGCCCGGCACCTTCTCACTATAATCGTCGGCGTATAATCGTCCGATGTTATTTGCCTCTATACGGGGGTCCACTCGACATGACGAAACCGGGCCTATTGAAGAGCAATGCTGGGGGAATAGATGTTCGCTCCCCTCAGCTGAGCTCGGGAGTTTCCTCACTATTAATACGAATTCGGGTACAAGTGTACAGAAACCAATGAGAATTTCCCGAAAATTCGCTGGAAATTTTCATATTGTCACCAACACATGTAGCTAAACATGTGCATATCTTCTCACATTGTTAAAGGGACCAATACGGGCCACCAAAACACCGTTAATGAGATGTGCAGGGATCGAACCCGGGACCTCAGAGCATTCTACTGCAAACAAAATCCTTCCCCTACTACTACCAAGTGACCTGTTGAAGTCGCATATGAAGACTCGAGGGGTGGCGGTGTTCGTCCTGTACAGGGCTTGCTTGACCTTCTTATCATCACCCTTATCGAGAATATTCCAATAATGAGCCCCGACGTGATTCGACGCCCTCCCAAATTGCAACGTTATCGTCTGTGATGACCGGTCTTCCCCTTCAGTGGGCATGCTGTTGAGAATACTACAAAGCAATACTCACTTGAATAGTACCCTTTGTAGAGTAATCATCGGATCAACGCAAAAAGTAACCAAACCGAGAGTAAATAGTCGAAATCAACCTCAGGAAAGTCAACTGGTTGACTTTATTTAGGGTTTCAAACCAAACTGAGGTGTCCTCGCCATTTCTCACTGTAAAGATTCGTATATATACTCGCTCGCCCACGAGTGAAACCGTTGAAGGACATGGCATGTTATGGTGAACTAAGATTATACTTTGCAGGTTCCACACTCTTATGAAAGTGTGTTCTCATTCATCATGGCCGATGATCGGCACAGATCTACCTAGCGACTACGTGAACGGAACTAATCAAGAGCTCTACTCCCGTCCTGGATACGAACATCAACGTCTCCAGTATAGAATGATGGAAACATGCCACTTCAAGCTGGGAAAGGTTTACGGAAAGAGAAAGGTTCGCCAAAGGAAAAGGTAGGAACACAACGACAGGGATCAAAGAGGAATAAAGTCGCATAGTTTGCGAAGATACTTATACAAATTTGAAACTCCTTTCCGCTGAAGTTGATAGAGTAGACATCGAATCAGGCGTCTAATAAAGGTTAACTCGTTAACCCAAGTTGAAAACCGGTGCGGATGGTCGCGTCGCTTCGCTAGCAATTAGTACTGCAGTAATGAAA